CAGGTCTAGCAGCCCATGTGATCATCTGGAGATTGGTGAGCTGTAGGCAGGCAGCTCCTCAGCTGGGTTGGGCTGTGTGCTCTGCGGAGTGGCATATCAGAGCTGGTGAATGCCGACAACACGACACTGGAAGCATCTTTCTTTTTGATTGGCTGACTCATTCCCCCCAAAAGCCCCAGAAATTATTGGCCTTAGAGAGCAGATCCTATGTGTCCTATGTAAAACTCCCATTTCGTATGGTCTTCGTGTCTGACTTGAATCGATACAGGCTTTCACCTATTCGTTCATATTCTTGATCATTTCTGTTTCCCTCTAGTTTTTCCTGTTTCTACTTTCTCTCTTGTTTCTTTTCTTTCTACACAAGAGGCTGGGGAAGAGGTGACTGGATGTGGGCAGGCATTGAACACACAAGCCAGTGATCATGGCTGTTTGCTATCAAGCCCCACGTGTGCCTTTTGTGACACCATGTATTCCTTAAGTAAGCCTGAGGTATTGTATCCCTCATTTAGGTATTTTTCGGAAAGTGGCAGAACTTGAATTTGAAGACAGTTTTGCCCTACTCCCCAGAGCAAAGCCTCTCACTGGTGCTGCGTGCGCAGGATGGGAGCGGGAGATGGCGACCCATTGGCACAGTGATAAGAGTCACCACTTATATAAGGAGACTCCTGTACATTTCTCATCTCATCACCTCCAGTGGGACTCCTCCAGCCTAGAGTTGTCATGTTTGTGTGTAGCCTTGCTCTGGATGGAAGGACTACATTCTCCTGACGGCTTGCCTGAATCAGATCACTGTACCCTCAGGTTACAGATCCTCTGTGACTCAGGAGGTCAGAACCGTATCTCTAAGCCAATGTCGGAGGGAGCCAGAATATTAGAAGGCAGAGGGAAGCAGAACTATAAATTCCGCCCCCCCCCCGCCCAGGATAATTACCCAAACAGAGTTTTGATGGGAACAAGTGCAAGATTTCTAGAGTTGAAAACAAGACTAGAAAGAAACACATGTCCCCCTGCGCACACATCCACCCTCATACATATGCACACCTCTCTCAACTGCAGTTCTGGCCTCAACCTGTCAGAAACCCATCTCGTCGTCTTTGTCTTCACTGCGTGATGGTTGCACCGGACTCATTGTCTCCTCTTCTGCAGCAGTGTCCTGACCAGTACCCCTGCCTTCAGGCGCCCAGCTCCCTTTCTGATGCCTTCTTCTTAGATAATTGTGATCTTAAAGCAGGTCTCCCCACCATGCTGCTTTCCTGCTTCAGCCTTGACCGTGGTTTCTCAGGCTGTGTCTTCCTCCTTCTCAAGATCTGGCTCACCCCTACTGCCCCCCTCGCCGCTCGGCCTTCCCCACACTGAGCTTCCTGCAGTTCCTGGACTAGCTGGGCCCACTCACTCCCTTTGCCTAGAACAACATTCCTGGCATTCACCACCTGGCTCCCTCCTACTATCCTTCAAAGCTAAACTCAAATAGACCTCCTCTGGGGGAAGCTTTCTCAGGCCCTCTTCCCTCCCCTTCATCCTGGGTTAGATGCCGTGTTCTCTGTACTGCTTTAACACCCTGGCTTCCCTCTATCATAATCCTAAACCACGCTATTGTATTGCTCTATTTACCTGAGCTATGAGGTATGACCTCATTGACCTATGAGCTCTTAGAGGGCAAAGAATTCTGTCTTCTGTATAGTTATCTTTATCATCTCAGGGCTTGGAACAGGGCAGTAAGTGTTCAATAAGTGTTTACTGATTGTGCTTTTCAAAAAGGCAATTTATGAAATGCAGAGAAGAGGAGAATAGGAATTGAAAGCACATGCTCAGGGCAAGAGATCTTAGAACTCTTAGTGGTGCTTCGCACATCGATTTTGTGTTTGCTGAGACTGTTGCCTGCTGGTTCTTTCCCATGGCAGAGAAATTCTGTGCAGTAGGCTATGGGCTGGAGTGGGCGGGGGTGGGGTTTGTCCCACATACCTGGGGTAGTCACCTAATTTGTACAGACCCTTCACAACCTGAGCTTCTGGGTTTTCTTTCTGGGTGGAAATCATCTTTTGTGGAAAATAGAATTGCTCCGGGAAAAAAAAGTTTTCAGTTTTTTTAGTTCTTTTTGTGTTCTGCTGTTCAAGCATGAAGAAGACAGAGGCCTGTTTGAGTCTCAACAGGATCATGTTTCATGATCCCCAAAAAGTGTTTGTGTTACTTCAAGCCACCCGGAAGGTGAAATATAGCTTACAGGGGCATCCTGTTGGACCAGAGTCTACTTTTCATCTCGCTGTGGGGCTGTGTGCAGTTGGTGTGGGAGGATTCGATCCCCCTGAGGTCTGTAAGAGTTCTACATGGTGATAAGATCCAAGGCCAGAGTGCCTGCTTCCAGTAGAGAGAAATGTAGAATTTCAACACCAAACATTTTATAAGCTCCTAGTATGTGCAAGGTTCAATGCAAAGTGTGTAGGTGATGCAGGATGATGAGAATTGGACTCCATCCTTAAGAAGAAGGATGGGACTTAATCCCATCAGAAGAAAGGCTGATGAGCAAAGTTTTGCAGACACGAGAGCACATGGCTTACTCTAGGCCCAGACATGACTTTGGTTCCCAGACAAGGTACGCCTTTTATTGAACTATGTGCCAGACATAGGTTTAGAATTCTTATCAAGTACTTTCTCGCCTTTAACCTTCATTTCATTCTTATCTCGCAGTTGGGAAACGGAAATTCTTAATATGTATTGGGTGTGAGCTCAGGAAATTAAATTGGGAAATCAGCCAGTAGACAGAGGTGGTGTCAGGATCTTGAAGGGAGGGATGTTTGTTTGAGGGTGTCCTCTGCTCTCTTTGCCCTCATTAGATGGCATGCAGGCTGGGAGAAAGATCTCTAAGAAATGAGATCAGTAAGAGCCTTTATTTGGTGGGGCTCGCTGCTGGGCTAGAGGAAGTGGAGTTGAGAGCCAGCAATGGAGGGACTGACTGAAACCTCTTCCTTGGGGACAGAGCAAAGGAGGAAGGAGAAGGTAATTTCCAGGTAGCGATGAGGACATATGTTCCGCACCTGTCAGAGAAGAGTTGAAAAATTTTGTTGATCTCTACATTTAGCTGTGTTTGTTCAGATTTCCTTATACTGAGGCATCTGAAACCCACTTCCCTACTTGTTGGTAAAGAGTTCCCAGGCAGGGCAGCCTCGGGCCTCCTGGCCGGACTGAACAGACCTTTTCTCCCGAGTCTCAACTTGTCCCTGGCAACGAGACAAACCTTTCTGTGTCACAGTTCTCACTGTTCACACCTCCTTAGAAAATGAGACAAAAGGTTTAATTTTTTTCCTTTGCAAAGGGTCCATTCAATTGCACTCAGACTGTAAATGTTTTCAAATGTTCTATTTCTTGACTAACATTCCACTTTTCTATTTTTTTTTCACTTTCTTATAACTTAGAAATTGCCTGGCCCTTCTTTTTTTTCAACAAAGGAGTAATAATAAGATATTTGAGTAGGTCATCTATGAAATGGGTACAAAAACTCAAAAGGTACAAAGGATTTTGTGGTGGCTAGTAAGCCAATGTTTCCTTTGGCCTTCTAGTCACTGAGTTCTCCCAGGGTAACCAGCATCCAGTGATTTTGGTTGCATTTTGCTAATGACTGTATCACTAGAGAGAACACTGTGGAAATTGGTTCAACAAAGGATACAAGTCCTTTCTGTGGCCAGGCTTTGGCTGTTAGAGTCTTGGTGTTGGTGCAGTCTTACTAAGAACTTCATTTTTTTTTTTTTTTGCCTGTAATGTGTCCAGAATGAAGTCACAGGGCTGTCCTTATTAGTGAATGAATTACCATCTGCAGGACAAAGACTCTTCATCCAGAAAGCTGTTAGACATAGGAAGTTTGAAGTGTTTTAGTCCCCATTTCAAAACCCAGCCATATGTTTCCTATTAAATTACATGACTGATAGCTGCCTCTTACAGTTACTTAGTACAAACTCCTGTTGCTAACTTGCTCAAATGGGGATCTGTGTATTTATTTTCCCACCTAATACAAAGCATAGATTTCTCTTATTTGGGTAACTGAGCAAGTTGTTGAATCTTTCATGATAAGCTAATTGAGGCAGAAACTCTGCCTGAGCCATCCTTATACACTTATAGCACTCAGTAAATGTTCCTCAATGATTCTAAGACAACTCAGTGAGGTCATATGCTCAGAAGGAGGAAGGAGGTTGGGGATGAGTGATAGGAGAGTTTTCATTGACCTTTCCTCCGGGTTAGTTGCTGACTCCTTCAGCCAAGAGACCCTGGCTTCGTGACCTCCATCAGCTTGTTGACATCACTGGGCTTTCAGGAAAAAGCGATCATGACTGCTTCCTTGCTCCAGTGCCTGCTGATAGGAATTCATATTGGCTGATCTCTTCTGGTTACACCCTAGATTCCTTTGTGAGGAAAGGGAAAGTATTGAGGACTAGTGACGGTGACTAATGCTTCCTTTGTTTGAGAACTTATCTTTCACGGCTGCTCATTTACCTTGAGAAATAAGGAAGTGGGGCATGTAGATAGGGAGCACTGGACTGAGAGCCCATGCATATGATGTCTGCTCCTACCCTGGCTGTGCAACTTTGGGCCTGTCACCACCCTTCTCTGGGCCTCAGTTTCCCTCTCTGCGCAATAAGAATTGGACTCTGTGGTCTCCATGTTGTTGTGTATTTAGGTGCTCAGTCGTGTCCGACTCTTTGCAACCCTTTGGACTGTAGCCTCTGTCCATGGGGTTTTTCAGGCAAGAATACTGGAATGGGTTGCATTTTCCTCCTCCAGGGAATCGTCCTGACTCAGGGATCCAACCCACGTCTCCTGTGTCTCTTGCGTTGCAGGCAGATTCTTTACCTGCCTAGCCTTTGGGGAAGCCCATAGTCTTCGTGGTCCTTCCCTATTCAAAGTTTGGGGGCCCCTTTCCCTAAAGTCCACACCCCTAGGATCTTCCCTTTGCCTGTCCCCAAGGCCCAAATGCTAATGGCTGATTGGGGTCTCTGATTTTATGCTTCTAGGTTTTCTTCGTGTCTGACCTCTTCAAGACCAAGACAACACTCTCCCTGCCTCCTTCTGCCATCAGGAAGGACATCCTTTCACCTGTGGACATTATCGACAGGAACAATCACCACAACATGGTGTAGGTGCCACCCACCTCCTGAGCTGTTTTTGGAAAATGACTGCTGACAGCAAGTTTTTGCTGCTCTCCAATCTCATCAGACAGTAGAATGTAGGGAAAAACTTTTTGCCCGACTGATTTTTAAAAAGAAAAAAAAAAAAAAATTCTTACCTTGTGGCCTTCCAAAATAGGTAGCGTTCACCTATGTGGAAACAACAGCAAACTAACAGCAAATGCAGGAATCCTGGATATGCAGTTGGTTTAAGTGTTCATGTTCTAGTGAACACGGGCTTGTTCTGGAACAAACACTAAGATGATTTGAGTAGAGTCTGCTGGTCACCTTTGTGACCTGAGGAATCCCAGGCCTGTTGGGAAAGCTCACATTCAGCTTGCAGCACATGATGCCAGAAATAGCACTGAATCAGTAAACTAGCCATTGGGGGCTCCCCTCTCGTGTCTCTGTCCACACCACTCGATTCTCTACTGTGACTTTGGTTCAGGAACCTTACTTGTTTGTTTGTTTTTGCTTTTAAATATAAGAAAAGAGCAGGTTTGCTCAGTCCAGCGGTCAAATCCTGAATCCAGATTCCCAGTCATGAGGCCTCATCACTCACTTCCTCAGCCCATAGGCCAGCAACCACAGTCCCTCACTTATAGTGATTAGGTGACTCTTTGTGGATGAGTGAATTTCACAAATAGCACAATTTTGGAAGAGCTGGAGGGTTCGGGCCCTTCCGTGTCTTCTCTTGACGCACCATCCTGTGATGCTGAAATGTCGATTACAGGATGCTGATGTTGTGTACAGCAATCACCCGGGCACTGGCACACTCAAGTAGTGATGATTAGCTTCGGCTACTGCTTTCTCCCTGGAAACCCTTGCTGGGTGCCCACCGGGATGGCCTCTGAGGGCCCGGAGACGAGCACAGGGGTGGTCTGCCATCAGCTGATGGAAAGCAGCCTTCCATGCAAGAGATGGAGGAAGGAAGGGGGCAGAATGAAAAATGAAGCAACCCTTTGGCTACTCACAGTCTGAATGAGCCAGAGTAGCAGACGGCCTCACATCCCAGAGGCGGCCCTTCCAGATAACCGAGTTGACAGGGGCAGGGTCTCTGGAGGAGCCGGTCTTGCTAAGCTGTGTAAAGCACTATTGTCTTGGGGTTGATCTCTAGGGCAGTTCTTGGTAGGTTCTGCTGGGCAGAACACGTGGGTTAAATCTCCGTAGAGTTTCCTCATCCTCTCTCCATAAGTGTCCTTCCAAGCAAGGTCCCACTTGAGGCAGCAGTCAGGGACCGCGTCTACTGAACCTTTGAGGAAAGGAGGAAGGAAGAAATGCTTTCAGATCTCGGATGCACACCTTTCAAAGGGCTAAATGTAACCACATGGGTCAACCACATGCACAGCCTTACTACAGAAGCCGTCCTGTCATTTCAACTTATAGCAAGCTATGATTTTTATATATAAATATTATATAAATAATGTATAAAACATTAAAAGTTAACTATGTAAAATATTATTTCTGAAACAATTTTAGCTATATCCACTATGATTATAAACTGTGTCTCGACCTGTGTTATTTACATTAGCTGCTTAAAAAAGCATGGAATTTTTTTTTCATATCAACTAAAATACCGTAGTTCTGTGGTAGATGTTTTTACAATGAAAGAAATAACTGCAACTAGAGAAAATTGTATAAAAACATTAAATTGCCAGTATTTTTGTAAGGTTCCATTTTGTAAAGAGAATAATATTCAAAGACTTTTGTAGAATACAAAGTGAAAACTTGTATCTGCGAAACTATACTTGTATTAAATGTGCTTTTTAAATAAAAGCTCATAACAACTAAGGAGGGAGCTGGAGACTTGGAATGGTTGGGGGGGTTGGTCTTGGTGGTTGGGGGGGTGGGAGGAGGCCATACTTCTCCAGGGGCTCCCTTCCCCCACAGGGCACCACTGTGGGATTCTCTCCCTGGGAAATATAGTGGCTGTGGTGTAGATACTGATGCCCTGAGCTCTTTCATCTCCAAGAGCCTGTTTGCAGAGTGACGCTCTGGTCCTTCTCTCCTCTCGGAGAGCTCTCCTCTTCTAAAGAGCTTTTGTATTCTAAAGGGGGGTTTCCCCAGGGAGGGGGGAGTTGTGGGTCCCCCAAAGGCAGATAAGGAGCAGGCTGTTGATGATAAGTTGTGCTTGGGAAGTTCGCTGAAGCAATCCTTTACACAGCCAGCGACATCAAAGGCAGGAGGGTGCACTGCTAAGAATGGCATCTGGCTCCTGCTTTTCCTCTCTGATCCCCTGGAGAAGGGAACGGCTATCCACTCCAGTATTTTTGCCTGGAGAATGCCACAGACAGGGAAGCCTGGTGGGCTACAGTCCATGGGGTTGCAAAGAGCTGGACACAGCTGAGAGAATTTCACTCACTCACTTTCTTCTCTGTGTTTCCCCAACCTGGAGGAGCAGGGGAAGCCGGACATCGTTTAAGCACCCGTGTGCCAGGCACTACAGCCTGTTTCTCGCTTTTGATCCTTCCAGGAGTTCTGATTTTGAGAAATAAGGAATATGAAGGAATGCAAAGATGATGTTTAAGATTGTGGAGGAGTAAACCACAGGCCAGAACTTGGATTCCTTTCCTATTGCTGCTGTAAAAAATTACCCACTAACTTGGACTTAAAATAGCACAAGTGTATTACCTCTTAGTTCTGGAGGCTCTAGAGGCGCTGTTTCCTGGTCTTTTCCAATTTATGGAGGTCATCCACTTTCTTTGGTTTGTTTCCTCTCTTCAAAGCCAGCAGTGTTGGGCTGAGTCCTTCTCATTCTGTCATCTCGCTGATTCTCTTCTGCCACCCCTTCCACATTTAGGGCCCTGATGATGACAGTGGATCCACTCAGATAGTCCAGGATAATCTACCCAAGTTACAGTCAGCTGACTAGCAACCTTAATTCCATCTGCTACTTAATTCCCACTTTGTCATGTTTCACAGGTCCTAGGGATTAGGATGTGGACATCTCTGAGGGGACCATTATTCTGCCTACCTCTGGCTCCCAAAGATTTACATCTATCCCATATTCAAAGTACATTCATCCTATCCCCACATTCCCCAAAGTCTCAACACTTTATAACATCAGTTCAAAATCTCAAATCTCACCATCCATACTACATCATCTAAGTAAGGTAAGAATGAGGTTCTGGGTTTAATCCATCCTGAGGCACAATTACTCTCCATCTATGAATCTAGGAACCTGTGAAACTTAAGAGATAAGTCATCTGCTATTCAAAAGAGGAAATGGAAGGGAAAAAAGGAGTCGCTGGTCTCAAGCAATTTTAAAATCCAGCCAGGCAAACTCCATTTGGTATCTCCACTCAGATACCTGTCCTAATTCAGCACTTTCTCGGCATTTTCCTATGAGTGGACATAACTTTGGGTCCCACAGTGCAGAAAGGGAGATTCTTAAGGCCAGAGTCCGAAGTGTTCCCTTCAAATCTAGGGGAACAAAGGTCCAGATAGATAAAATAACTTGCTGGCAGGAGGAGAGGGATACACAGCAAGTTAGTGGAGGAGCTGTGGAGATCAAGTCCGTGCATACTACTAGTCTCCCTGTCTTCCCCTTATACTTATCCAATAGTACTTGATGAATTAAACTAGTCTCAATAAGAAATAGCACCATTTCATGGGTACTTAAGGAAAGAGGGGCTTCCTTTATGGCTCAGTTGGTAAAGAATCCGCTGCAATGGAGGAGACCCAGGTTTGATCTCTGGGTCGGGAAGATCCCCTGGAGAAGGGAATGGCTACACTACCCAGTATTCTTGCCTGGAGAATTCCATGGGGTTGCAAAGAGTCAGACATGACTGAGCAAATAACACATTCACTTAAGCAAAGATGGAGCCACAGCATAATATGGGGCAGCTCTGGGATTCCGTTTCAAATTATTTCAGTTATTTGTTGATTAATACTCCTTAAGTACTCTGTACCAGGCACTGGTAAATCCATGAAGAACAGTGGGTTAAAGGGACGAGATCACAGCTTCAAGGGACTTATGAGTTAGAGAAGGATGCAAAAAGTCAAATTTAACTAGGCAATTAAGAACTAAGATGAGTGTTACAAAGAAAGAATACAGGAAGTTAAGAGAGATAATAGCTGGAGGACCTATCCTGTCTGATGGTGGCTTTTCTGAGATCTGCCAAGGGCCAAAGCCTGTTTAAAGTATCCACACCAATGACATGAATGGAAAGGGCTCTGCAAGATGTAGGTCTAGGAGAAGAGACAACTGAGTGAGTAAGAGATTATGGTAGTATGCTAATGGGCGGAGGAGCCTGTGTGAAGTGTTGCTGGAGCGTAATGAATAGAATGAGTTAGACTTCGATGTCCTCCCTGTGGACCCTCTCCCCATCTCTGGTAAGCATCTATTCTAGAATATCCAACCCAGAAAAAAAAATCCAGCTTCTGGATGAACACTTCCAATGACGCTCACTTTGCCTGCAACAGCCCACTGCAGTCTTTGGAAAACTTGAATGCACACATCACATTTTGATTCTCCTCACCTCCTTTGAAGAGAAGACAAGGCATGAATGGCCCAAGATATCAGAGGTGAATGTTAGAATCAGGGAGGTTTTGGTAGTTTTCTTTTGATATCAGAATGATGAGTAAGAAAAAGAGAGACAATCCATTTTTAGAACTTTCTAACAGAGGGTATCTCCTCAAAGTTGCTCCAGCACTGCACAGCCACCACTCCAGTGCCTACTGTCTTGGTGGGGCTTCTCTGGCCTTGGACATGTGGTATCTCCTCAAAGTCACTCTAGTGCCGCGCAGCCCCTGCTCCAGGGCTGTATACTGTCACCATGCTTATTTAACTTATATGCAGAGTACATCATGAGAAATGCTGGGCTGGAAGAAGCACAAACTGGAATCAAGATTGCTGGGAGAAATATCAATAACCTTAGACATGCAGATGACACCATCTTTATGGCAGAAAGTGAAGAGGAACTAAAAAGCCTCTTGATGAAAGTGAAAGAGGAGAGTGAAGAAGCTGGCTT